CCTATCTCACTTATCGCCAAATTTGAAGAAAAAAATATTAAAATTTACAGTTTTCCAGGGATGTTCAAGTCTTGATGGCCGGGGTTCAAATCCCACTCTGGACAAAAATTTCATCAATGAATGAGGTTTTTTTCTGGATGGGATTTGTACTTCAATAAACCTACCGATCTATCTACCGTTTCCCCCTACTGTTATTACACCCAACGTATGGCGAAATACATTTTATAGTGTCAAAATAGCCATGTCTGAGCCCTTAAGGGGCGATGATGAATTTAAAAAAAAAAAAAAAAAAAAAAAAAGAATGAACATGGATGCTACGCTAACCATGTTGGTCTTAACTCAAAATAAAAAAAAAAAGAGCGTTACCAAATATTATTTTTCTTCAGCTTCTACTCGACACCTATTTTTAATTTTGTAATGCGCCCCTGGAAAGTATTTATACGTAGATGCGAACAGAATTGAATGAGTTGTTTTGGTGTCTGTAAAAGACAATTGTATGTCAGAGGATTAGAGTTGTACACGCAAGTTTTTAATTAAATGCGCAAAGTTTTCATATCGAAGTAAGGAGTAAAATTCACGGGGATTTGAGAGTTTGGTTCAATCGCCATAATTTTCTATCCACCTACTAATTTCTCCTTCCCTCTAGTTCTCCATCTTTCTCTCGTAACAGGGATGGGAATAGGGTTTACTCAGTGTAGGTGATTACAAGCCTTTTTGAAGCCTTTGAAATTTTTCATCTATTTCTCTCATTTTCGAAAAGAAGAATCCCACACAGTTTTAGCTGATAAGACTACAAAGAGAGAGAGAGTGAGAAATAATATAGGGAAGCTGGTAAATAAAAATTTTTTTTTCACTCCTTTACACACTTACCTAAAATTCTCAAAAGAAATACTCACTACCATGACTGGCCCTTTATTTCTGGGACTGACTTTTCGGGACCCTCATTCTTTTATTTATAAATATAAACATACTTAACAAGCAAGCAGTTATTAAAAAGACAAATGGCCCCATGAACTGTAAAATAGAAAAATACAAGTTTTTTTATGCTCTCCAGCTGATATAAAACTGTTGTTACGCACGAACGCATTCAGATAAGCCTAAGTGGGCTGGACTGGGTTGTACCGATAGGGCTATCCATAGATTGGTGATCTGGTAAATAGATATGGCTGCAGTATCTCTTGAGTAAAATCAAACATCCGAATGCATATTTTATTAGCTGTCTCAGTACCCATGACCATACACACGGTCAGGTAAGTCTCATTACCTATATATAAAAAGTACACTGGCGGTAAACAGCCCAGCCGGAGTGTCCATTGGTCTGACTCTTGGCGTAAATTGGCTCAGATTAATCGGGAGCCGCAGGAGGCTAAAGGGGGCGCCGCATACGTCCGACGGCTCAAGATGGATGGATGAATTACAAGGCACGAGTCACGCGGGCTACGTATCTTGGCCAGCTCCAGTGGCAATGCACCACCAGCGCAGTATAGAAAAGCCCCAACCACTTCTGTCTCACTCCAACTCTTTGGGGCGAATGCACGTGGCCCTGTAAATTGCCTGGCATTTAATTATCGCGAGTGGGCTGCACTGAGCTGGTACCCCAAACGCGCCTCCGCTACCCTTATATTCCCCGGGTCTTTGCTTCGTGCATGCAAATGCGGGCCCGCGAGGCACCGCTAAATTAGACACCTGTGCTTTCTCTCAGCAACGGATCGCGCTCGAGTGGTGCTTCTGTACGTGCTGGTTGTATCCCTTCGGCTCTTTTGGCCCCCACTTGCGCTGTGCTCGGTTACCTGCACCGCTTGCATGCGACGAGACTTTCCGTCCTCTTGGAGCGATGCTAACCGGCGTGACATACTCTGCACGGCACAGCGACGGGGATGACACGTATGGGCATGTGCATTAAGAGTAGCCGCGGGCCTCTAATTGAAAGTTCCTGCCACTGCCCGGGCGGATTTGTCCACTGAGCAAACCTTCAAAAGTGCTGTACTGTATCTTAGAGCTTTTTTCTCTTCAGCCAAGAGCTTTTCGTTGTCTGTCTTCTTGTGCTTATTTTTTGGAAGCAGAGAGCTCCTTGGCGTATAGTCAAAGACCTTGTACTAGCGTGTCTTGTACTTTCTGGCCATTTTGAGGCTTGAGATTATTGTAGGAATCGGTAACTGCAAAATATTTTTCGTGGTTTAGAACATCTGCATTTATGTAGACACTTGTAAGCTAATTATGCAATTTATTCAAATTAGACCATTTAGAACAATGTAAGGGTTGATTACAAAAATAAAATTTCTCAAGCTATCGTAAAAATTACCATATTTTACGTAATTGATAATAATTATATACTTTTATAAATTAACAAAAACACTGTAGATCGAATAAAAGTTTTGGCTGCATACTACGCCAATATTCTTTTTCACTAAACGATTGTCTGACTATGTTTGACTAATACTACTTAATTCAAGAAATACGTTTTTTTATTCATCGTGTTTTTTTTTAAGATGTCGATAGTTAAGGCATACATATTATTTTACAAATACACATTTAGATGGTGCATAATCCCTACTAGCTATGTCCTTGTCCTACACGAAGATTGAAAAAAATATAATTCACGCTAATTTTTAAGTGTCGGTCTTTGTCAAACACTTGCCTGACCATAATCAAGATATACTACTGTACACTAACAAATATGACTTAACATATTACATGTTCTAAAAAGTTGCCACCCTTCGTCAACGTTTAGATATTGACTTCTGGTAAATATGTGGCTGACCATATTCAATTTGTACTACTTGATTACAAGAGATGTGATTTAAAAAAATGTATTCCCGAAAAATATTAACGATTATGCTGCTGCGGATTACTACTTCGAAAGAGCGGAAAATTTAAGACTAAATGATGAGTGTGTGCATAAGACAATAGTACATAGACAATAGTAAAAGCTCTAATCCAATATACTTAGCCAATAAACATTTTTCAAATACAAATTAAATTTATGTATACTCTCGCTTATACTTTAAAAGTTTGATGCTCTGTTCCTTTTTCAGGTACTCTAAAAAAAAAACGAGATTGAATGCATCGTTGATAAAAAACTCAATTTTAATTATAACACTCGTTCTCACGAACATAAAACAAACAAGAATATATTTTTTCACATTTATTTCCATTTTAACTTATTCCTAATTCCATTTCCACGTATCAAATACATATGAGGAACGACTGCAAAAGGCCAAAGAGCTTTTTATCAAACGTCAAAAAAATTATTTGGTCAGGCGATACAACCCCACACCCCAGTAGCGCAAGAAGAGAGTAAAAAAAGTGCGTCCGTCAGAAATAAAAGCTTGGCAGAACCACGCATATGTACCCAACGACGTGGATATCTCTCATGCTCCGACTCCAGTCAATCATTTAATGCGATTTTTTCACTCACCCCTCACCATGGCTCTCTACCCACGCAACAGAGAAATCGTACACCATACAGTGTATAGCGTACATTATAATTGCCGTAAATCGTAAAAAGTATTTTGTTACCTTGTTGTTCAGCTAGTTGAAAAATTAAGGATTTCAGTGTATTCCTTATCAACCTATATGTATATTTCTCTCTTATAAAAAAAAAAATAAATAAATAAATAAAAAAAAAAAATTATCGAGCACACGTAAAAGCATCTTTTTATCCAACTACGCGAGCGCATGCATACGCGTACACTGCACTGGACATAGGATATTTTTTTCGCGTGGTAATAATTCATAAAAGGTCGTGATATTCAATTTTGGTAAGATAATAACCAATAAAGTTTTTGATACCTTTGTTTACGACTTACTTCAGTGTTCTGATCCACTTGAGCTTTTTGTTTTCGATGCCAGTTGTGTGATCGCATATAAATTGAATAAACAGAGCTCTGGCAGCTGCAGCTGTTTGTAAAATGTGTTGCGTGGTTCTATAACATTTTATGCAATAGGTAACGTATTAGTTTGGAACGGTGACGGGTGATGGATCAGATTCTTTACTGGCCTTTTTTACGGAAAAAAAATTGGCCCGGCTTTGTTATCGTAATTATATTAGTTGCACTGACGTTGAATTAAAAAATCTTAAACAAATTAACGTACCCATTTGTTTGTAAATTTGGAATATAATACTCATGAAAGTTTGAAACACCAAGACCCTAAATACTAGGTATGTATATGCTTCAACTAAAAATTAAATCATCCCTCATCTGAATACATTAAATTCAAAGCATGGTATAATACGTTCGTTCTAGCCGATGGATAAAAAAAATTAATGTCTTCATACATACACCTATCAACGTAAGCCATTACCTTGACTTACCCGTCTGGGATAAATAAAGTAAGAATATCACCTCTTCAGGAAGTAATATCGATAAATAGCTCGATCCCGAGGTTAGCCGTATATTTTTGCGATAAGGTGAGCGTATTACGCTAACGCGCACCTATACATGCACCCTCTCCGTTACGCCATAAAATATGCATCAATACATATTCAAGCGAGCGCCACAACGTCCTGGTCTGGGCTGGCTGCTCCCTGCCCCAATTAGCATTAATCGCCCTTCGAGTCCCCCAGCTCTGCCATCGATCGCGCCATCCTGGAATTCATATTGTATTGGGCTTTAACCACCACGCCGTATTTGCTAAGCCAATGCGACTTATCGGTGCTGGTTGCTCCCGTGCCTGGAAAAATTAACGACTGCTCGAGCTATCTTTAGCTCGACGATGACTTCTCGGCTCGAGCTCGAGCTTTCCTTTTGGTCTTTATAACGGCGTTATCGAGTGCTCTGAAAGAATTTTATTTTGCTTTGCTATTGAGAACGTGTGATACTTGATGCCAACACGGTTTGTTTGAAACCATATTTTTTGGGTGTATTTTAAATTTTTGCTGTGTTAAAACATCCAAGATAGTGAAGCATTTAGATGTAAATAGTTATTGGATCGTTTGGGGAAACAGTTACTGTGAAACATTGACAAGTATACTGAAATATCATTTTATTTATCGGCTTTCGAATATGTACATTAGGCCTAACGCATAATTTTTAAACTGTAAGAAGAATTTGAGAAACTAAAATTAGATGATACATCATAAACACCATGTGCAATAACCAGGTTTCAAGTTACATGAAAAATTCTTGTGATTCGTGTTGCTTTTCATTCATTCAATTATAATTGTAACAAATTATCGTAAGTATATACTAAAATAAGGTTGGATTGTTTTCGAATGAAATCACGTGATCTTCATTTCTATCTACATATGAATTATGTCTCTCGGTTTTGCTTAAATTTACATACTATATACATCCCACACATACACACTTTCATGCAATCATATCGTCATTTGTTCATCATATCATTGATTCTTGATTCCACGCAATAACATAAATAAATACATTTTGTATGTACTACGGAATTTTCGATGATTTTGATTACAAAAAGTAAATTCATTGCTCATCTGAAAATTGGCAATTTATCTCTACCTTATAACTAACCACCATAAGTTACCATCCCTGCATGTGCATATAAAAAGTATAAGACCAATCGTTTTGAATCCAAGCGTTACAGACACAAAAGCCCCTCTTGCACTGTCATCACAGCTGCACGCAATAATCGTCAGACTAAAAAATGACACAATTCCGCTTCCTTTCTTTCTCTCGCTGAGGAGGAGAACAAAAAGCCAGCAGCGCTTTCTGCGCCCCTTTCTTGTTCTTCGCCTCGTATCTCTCCTCTGTCTGTCAAAAGCCCCACATACTCACATACAAGTTGCAAAAAACTTTTCGTCTCAATGTGAAACCAACGCGCACTCGGCCTAATTACTCGCAAATAGCGGTCGGTACATGCCTATGGCGCGTATTTTACTCCGTACAATTTTGTATGCTTCGTCATGCGTACCTTCCACCCTTGGTAGCTACTTTTTTTTCTTTGTCTTCTTTTACTTTCCTCTATTTCGGCGTCGTGTTCACTGCCACACCAAAAGGTACATCATTGTCTTTTGTGGGTTGTCTACCCTATCGCGGCTCATTAGAAAAATAGTTTACATTTTGATAATTATTTTTGTATAGCTTTGACAGAAAAATTGAATTGTGCCTACACGTACAGGGGATGATAACTTAGGTGTAGTATATATCAAATTCCATTACTTTTCTCATTGTTGATGCATTAAGAGGTATAGAGCAAAACTAATCATGGTCTTCGAAACGCAATTTCGGGGAAAAAATATATACATAATCCACTGCACTCTGTTACGCCACAGATTGAGATACTTTAGAGAGAGCGGTATACCATACTATAGAAGTTTAATGGAATTAAAAGGAGATTTTGTGGTTCGGAGATGGTCGGGTGTTTACTAATCACATGTAGGTACCAATTAAAACTTATAATTACTACCGAAGCTTACGCAGCCTTAAACAACGTGGCCTCATAAATTATGCTTCTTCTCCTATGCCTACGTCTTTTGCCTATGTCTGATTTACGAGTTACAACAACAACGACAACGAAAGGGCGGGTGAGCAATTTATGAGGTGGCTTTTTTCAGCTTGTAAACTTTCCTCCGTTACCTGTACCCGTGATTAATTTTAGTCAAACTTTAGGCTTTCCTTTCCTTTTTCTCGGCCACAAAAGTGACTTGCGATCGTTAACTCCCACTTCTCTTACAATTGCAGTAGTACATATTAACGTACAAGTGAATAAAAAAGGAGGTACTTAAATTGAGTGAATATATAATAGACAATCAGTTTAAAATCTAACTTTATCATTCTTAACGAGTTCATAAAAATTTTATTTTGTTTTATTTGGCATTAGTTTGCGTCTCAGATTTTTTTGAAAAATTCGCATTTAATCGTTACCGGAGGAATTTGACTCGTGTCTTACGACTCGTACGTTTAATCCCGTGACTGATTTTTATTATAAAAATAACTGAACCAGTAGCAATGTACAATATTTTTGATCGAATGTAAAAAACCAAAGTCATTTGACCTCTAGCCAAGTTGAACGATCTCGTAAACTTGAAAAAAAAAAGTTAAATCAAACACCCAAAGTTAAGATAGGCAACCTCGCTCAATCAATCCAATACCAACAAAACGCGTCAGTCCAACTCGTTACCCAATGCCCTTCCGCTTCGGCATTCCCGCATACCATTCGTTGAATTCCTATCGTGCAGTTACACGTGTCGACTTTTTACGTTATTTTTTTTTTTTTTTAATCCTCCCTCTCCATTATTTACCACTAGGGATGTGGCAACGTTAAACATTCAAGCAACAGTAATTTATACAGAACGTTTGGAATCGTATTTACACGGTGGGACGTGGGTGTCAATACACAACGCACGCTACGGGCGAGAGAAACTCTGACATTATTTGCATCACGTCAGTCACCTTCATTCTTTTTTTTTTTTTTTTTTTTTTTTTTTTTTTTTTTTTTTTTTTATTTTTATCTTTGCCATGCTTAAACCACTATCTTTCTACTTTTTTACACCTACGGCGTTTGCTCACACGTACACGGTGTAGTGTATACATATTTATACTACATCACGGACATGTGCCCGTATGTCAACTCTGTTTGCACAATAAATAATAATAGCAATAGGGCTCGGTCGTAGTACACATGTTGGAGAATGGCTCAATAGCTGTTTTTTCCTTTTTTTTCACTATGCCTGATGTACAGAGACACATGCACACACAGGAAAGGGGATTTGCAAGTATACAACTATTTACACACACACACACATACTTTTTCTCTTTGATCCATTCTGTTTTTAGCACTAGGGGAATACAAATTTTTTTTATTTGACTGGGAGTATGAAAAAAAAATTGCTTAGAGCATATTTATTGATGGAAAGAGGCAAAATTGAATTAGTGCAAATCAATAAGTATTATTATTTTCTCTGAATTCATTCGTAGGGTAGCAAACGATGTGTATTTATATCTGACGCCAATTAAAAACAACACTTTCATAATAATTTATCAGCATACTATTTAGTATGAATTGATCTATACAAGTTTTGTATAAACGGTGCTGCGTTTTTGACATCTATTTACAGCATTTTCATGAATTTTTTTGTGACAGTTGATATGATAATTTACAATATTAACAATTACTTATTTTATTCCTAATTTATAATGCTGTTTGTATTGAGTGGCTATGGTTTACAATAAATAATAGGAAAAAAAAGAACAAAAATCCAATTAACTGTAAAAATAAAAATTAATTAAAGACAGAAAGGTTATCACTAGTAAACCCAATGAAAAAAATCATGCCATAGGATTCAGAGAAACGATACTTATATGTACAGCCCAGAATAATAACAAAAACAAAAAAAAATAAAATAAAAAGTAATGGCAATAGTGGATGAACCCTACAATTCTTTTATCTCACTTTTTTAATTCTCGTTCTCTAATCCTTGCAGAGCAGCACCGAAAGCAGCATCAGCACGAACAGCACCGCCGAGGGCCTCGATAGACTACTTGCCTGGCCTTGAACTGCAACACACAAAACGTTTCGACTAAATAAGCGCTTTTTTGATGTCTTCAAACGTAGAAACATGTAAATGTACAGAAATGTAACATATGGAGGTAAGTTATCAAGTGTAGCTGTACAGGAATTTCTGTGTCATGGAAAGAACAGGTGGAAGGGAGACAGAGACAGAGGAAGCAAGTGGTCCCTGAGTAATGTCGGTATCAAGCAGTGCCACTTGGTCCGGGAAACAGATGAGGGTCTCCTCCTACCCTTTGAGAATCAAAGTAACAAGGGAACAGCGCACCTACCCTCTCTTTCGCTCATTTCCCCGCCTACTCCTTTAATCATACTCTCCTACATCTACTCACTGGAATCGTCATTCGTCAAGCTGCATTTGTCCACGTTTTCTTAGGGTCTGTGCCCAGTTTTTTATTGTTTCTGAACGGAAACAAAACAATCAAGCGAGAAATATTGTTTTGTAACACTTTTGAATCCCTATGGTCATTTTTTGTTATAATGATTACTCTCTACTTACTATTTTTTTCTCTCTTGGAAGGACACTATGTATAAATACTGAAACAAAAATAAAGTATATTAGCAAGAAAAATTATTAAGGAAACACAAGTGTACATTGTGTACTTGAAACACAAAGTAACGCGATACAATAAGTAAGCATTAATAAATCACGTAAATCTCGTCCTCGTAATATTCTCAGGATTCTGCATGTCATGAAGATTGTTTTATTATTTTATGCGATAAAATAATAGAGAGGACTACTGTTGCAGCATGTCTTTTTTTACATATTTAAGTAAACTAACATCAAAGAGGTATGTCCACTTTGCAGTACATCTGTTGTGTATGCGTGGCTAGAAAGAAAGAAAAAAAACTGCTAAGGTGTTCCGATAAAATTTACGAGATACGGCCACACGTTGACTAGAGATTATCTGACGATCATCGTGGCAAGTAAATAGCAAATAGGCTGTACAATAAAAGATACATGCAAAACAAGCAGACAAAAGGAGAAAAAGTGGGAAAAAAAGAAAGAGAGAGAGAGAGAGCGAAGGTGGTGAATCGAGGGAAAAAGTTACGAGCTGAGGAGTGGAATGGAGCAAAATAAAAGGAGAGGGGAGGGGGTGACTTAAGGGGGTTAGAGATGGTAAATGCAAGAGGCGTTCCGCGAACGATTTAGCTTAACGAGAAAATCGAAGGTCTTTAGGGGCAATTTCTTGGAATCGCTTGATGGCTTTTCCGGCTTCCACTAGTCTGACTTTCAACCCTCTCCCTCTTTCTTACTCCTGTTATACGTGCTTGCCTCTCGAAATATCAGCAAAAGCCAGTCCAACCCGAATCATTTCTACCTTCTGCAATGGGCATTGTTTCACTGTGTCTTTTATTCTTTTAATTTTTAGCTCGTACTCGTACGTATACTAAGTTGTTTGTAATAAATATATCTAGTGCGAATTTAATGCTGAAAGTTGCGATTTCCAATTGATAGCGAATAAAAGGAAAGTACCGTGAAAGTTTCAAGGATAATTTTGTCAGTCATCAAAGATTTTGTATTGAATCCACCTCCGTTAGACTGCTATAAGTGTCCGGACCTTTTTCTGACTCGCACTTGAACCGGCTTTTTCCCTCTCCTTTATCCCTCTATTCTTTCATTTTTCCAGAACCGATTAGGATTTATTTTTCCTTATAATACAATCAATAAGTATACTTATATGCAACGACATAGTGATACCCCAATTAATTTGTAAAGATGATAAAGTTCTTTTAAGTAGGTAAAGTATATCGACGCCTCGGACGAAAACAAGTCCAGTTCAGATTTTTCAATGTTATTTTAAATTAGAAAATCTGAAATGGGCTTGTTGTCGTCCGAAGCGTCGATATGAAAGTAACATTTTTTAATTACAATTCAATCCATCGATTTAAGCTTAACTCGTGAATTAAGTGGTAATTAATTAATAACAAGGCCAATAAAGTACAAACAACCCTCCAACATGATGTGAATAATAAAGACAGTCTTGACAATATGTAACGTGTGTGATACAGTGATACATCGTTGAAGCTAGTATCATTTTTAACCGCTAGGTGGCAGAGGCTGAAATAAGAACAGTCCGCAAGTTAAAAAATCAAGCTCAGTCTATAAAAAGCACGATCAACCTGTTAGAAATTTAGTTCTCTGGCCGTACTAGAATCTCTGGCGCGCAAGCGTATCAAGTTCTAGTGAGCCAACGGGACCACTGCTGGTCCCGGACTTCACCCTATGACGTCTTGACTCAGGGGGCAATCTCTCTCGAGATCGGCTGGATGAAAATCCCGTTGGTCTAAACGAGGGGGGCCAACATCTGAGCTTGCTCATTCGGTGAAGTCGCAAATCAAATCAAAAACAATTTACAGGTTACCCATACTCCCTTTCATAACATGTCGTGAATGCAAATGCTATTGTGAGGGTAATCACTAATGAACGTGATCGGTTAGCGGTGTTAGAACTCAAATAGCGCTCTCCACACGTTTAGCTATAGTTAGAATATTACACAATAAAACTTTCTGGCTAAGCATATGTTACATGAATTTTCAAACAGTAATATAAGGCCGAAGAGGCATATTTTTTTACCACGATGATGACCGTTGCACTATTGTTATGGGCTAGAAAATACCCTCGATGTTCGAACCACACGTGCACTAATAAAGTTGCCTCTTATGCTATAAAAGCTTTGGGATACGACATTCGACAACCAATAGATCAAAGCTTACGTGGATGAAGGTTGATTATTCCAGGTAACTGTAAGCCCACTACACGTATTAGTATGTCGAAAACCAGAAATCATACGAGCGTAGAGGAGGACACAAGGAGCGTTAGGAGTAGGCCTAGCGTCTCAACAATGGATTGACCGAATGGCTCCGTAGTAGCGTTTCCCACTGGACATTCGGTGCCGCATCGCTGCCACACCATTCCCATACTGTACCTCTGGACCGTTAATAATCGACCAATCGCAGTACAGCTGTACCCTATCTGGGCTTCGTCAATACATGGCAAATGACTCGTGCGAAATGATTCAGGTGCATGTCCTTGCATGTGATGCGCGCCTGTTTCGAATGAGCCCCGTTTGTTGCGTTTGTCCCCATGTACCATGGGAATCTCTTTGTAGGGTAAAGCAAATCGATAATACGCAAACAGGTGCATGCACATTTGGCCTTTTTGATGAAGCCATTGGTACGCATAGAGCATAGTTATGTATTTTGGTATGATGGCTCTATATTCATCCCACAAATGCCATTGGTTGTCGTAGAGGCTCATTTTACGCATTTGTCGTTGCACAAACAGTCGATCGTTAGTTCGTAATTTTAAGTTTGCGTAATCGTTGCCCGTTACTTTGTTCCTGCTCATTTGACAGGGACTACAAGCGCTTGATTCTGTTGATGTGAGTTCTTGAACAACATGTAAATGATGAGTAGTAGCGTGCTATGGTATTCTTATGTGAAAAAAAAAGATTTATACAAGTCACTTAGTACCAGTTTCGAAAATACAATAGATATAAGTGTTTTGTGTACGTATTGTAAATAATTACTTAGAAAAAACGAAAAGATGATGATTATTTAAGCAGAAACTGTTTACTGTTACTATAATAATATCTTTTATGGTTGTCCCCTTTTAACTGATTTATTTACTTTACCGTTTATTAGAATTTTTTATTTAATTCCATTCCTTACCATTTCAATTGCATAATTATAATTTTATAAACTAAAAAATGGCTGCAGAGAAATATTTGAACTTTTGTTTAGCCAATCAGAAATAACTCATTGATGTCTTGTTCATCCCCCAAGGATTAACAGGTAGTACAAGTTACGTGTATAAGACTTACTATTAGAGGAAACGCTATCACACTAACAAAGTACATTTGAAGACATTATAAATCCATTCAGTCTTTAGAGTTTTTTTAATTATGTTTTCGAAATAACCTGATTTAAATCCTTTGAAGACTGTGTAATAAAATATTAAGCTAATAATTTCTTTAGAGTTTTTTTAATTGTCGAACGTCCTACCAAACAATTTTTTACTTCTGGGATGATAACTTACATAAAGAGTCAAGTCGTGGCAACATAGTTGAACGTATGGTACTCTCACGAATATCGATCTACTTAGTCAACGTGGGGTATGTATGTATGTATGTGTGTGTGTGTATGTGCTCGTTATTTTACTCGTTAAACCGCTGGACGGAAGTTTACGACGTACGAGCGCAAACTTGTCGTTAATCGACGGCAACTGGCTGGTACTTTGAACTTTATATAGCTATACCACCTACTGTAGTTGTGTTCTGTACATAGAGGAGAAAAAAAGGAGAGAGAGCACCAGTGGAATCGGCTTGGACCTCTTGTTGATTTCGAGTCCCTAGTCTCATTACACTCACCACGTGCGTTTCTCCCCGAGTACCTGCCTTTGACACTTTATGTTTTTTGAAAGTGATTTTCAAGGCCTGTTTTTAATTTTTTATTTTTTTATTTTTATCATTCTCGTTCTCTCCTCTTTCTCTTGTCAATGAAGACTTTAACAAGCAAATAAATAAACGAATAAATAAATGATTATTGCTCATAACTACCAAAAATCTGGGTTTCTCTGACATCAACAAAAGGTATGGTAGCTTGTGGTGACGAACGCACCATCTGCACGCATCTGAACAGAAAATTGAAAAAAATTGCATGCAATTAAATCAAAATAAGATTGAAATGTACGTGATTTTTTTTACTACTGATACCACTCTTACGTGATTTTTATTCTGTCGTGAGTCAAATGCCTTGGTTTGAGCTCCAACCGGAGACTCGAACGCGTACTGTGAAGGCCATGATACGTCGAATGCAACACTTCCGAGGCTGGAGGGACCTGCGAAAGAAAAAGCGGAAATCGCTTTGGAACAACAGCCAACAAAAAGGTTTCAAAGAAAAAAAATTTATTGTAGAAAGTTCGGTTGAGAGGGAAAACAGTAGAACTCGTTTCAATGCAGTGAAAAAAAGCCCTTAAATCTAGCAGGGGTCGATAAATCCGAAAAATTTCATGATAATCTCAATAATTCAAGCTAACAAAGAGCAAATTGTATTTTTATCAAGGAAGCTTTTCTTAAGTGATTTCTATTTGTAAGCTACAATTTTAGCGAATTTATTTAACTGACGAGTAGATTCCAATTCGAGCACGAATATATAAACCATAATGTCTGACCCACAATATATGAACAACTGTTTCACAAGTGGTGATTAATTTTTCGTGAAAAGATCAAAATTAGAAATTTATTTCAGGAATCAATGCTGATGCAAAACTATTTATTCATGAATGAAACGCCAACCGAGCACATTTTACTTTAACAAAAATCTTTCACATGATACAAGTATTGGTGAAATATATTCTCGGAATAATGTAAAATAATAACGTTAAAAAATTCGTAGGGTTAAAAAAGTAAGCATAAAAATCCAGCAAGAGAGAGGCAGAAGAGACACGCTAAAATTTACCTCGATTTCGTTGATGAACCACTGCAACCGAGCCGTTGGATACGAGAAGGCGCTGGTGCAGTTCAGCGCCATAATATCACCACTGGCGTAAATCTCCTCTTCACCGGTAATCTTTGGACCCTCCCGAGGCGGATCTACGAAAAAAAAAATTTTCACCTCAAGATGTTTCAATGCGCAAAATCATCGCCAGGAAAAAGACGTCGGCAATCAGACCACTAGGCTAGTATATCTCTGATGACAACTATTCATGTTCACCATCAACTTGTGCCTTAGCTCCTTTTTTTTCTTTCGGTAGTTTTACTGGAATTTTTTACTTTTATTCTTTGCAAGTATGATAACAGAGCATAAGTTAAATGTAGAATTTTGCTAATCGTGCTGCGCAATGTGGGGTTCATTTAACAGATTTTTCAACATTTAATAGTTGTTTTTGTTGTTACTCAAATTATTCAGGGTCAATAAAGTGATCTTTTTTTTACGGTATTTTTCAAAATAAAATAAAAACGAATACGAGAAAGGGTAACACTTTAAATTCTCGTTACTCGTGATATTTTAGCTTGTGCATGTGTATTTTTAGGAATAAATGGTCTTGTATTTCTACCTTCAAAAAAGTCACGGTTAATTTCTATAAGCAAGTTTTACAAAAGTGACTACGTGATGGCAAAAAAAAATCTACCCAGGAAAATCTTGAATTTTTTTTTCTCGTCTTAATTATACCACATGTACGGCACACAAACACGCGAGCTTGCAACGTGAAAGAAACACTTTGGTCTTTACGCGAGTCAGTTGGCTTTTTTTCTGTATTTAATGCCTTGAAAAGACGATTTAATTAGAAAGCACGTACTGAAGAAAAAAAGGTCGTAATTTTCACATAAACGCAAGCTGCTCAAATGCTAAGGAGACGCATTACTTCTTTCAATGTGATAATTGGAGTGAGTAGTTAAATAACGGCGATACGCATTTTAATTACTTTCCACCGTGCGAGAATTGTGATGGTTCATACCACGTGTACCGAAGCAGGAGCGTGAGTTTTTTTTCTTTATTTTTCTCTGCCATGCCAAATAAAAATTGCTACCTTGTAATAACACTTTAAAAATTGCTCTGCTATCCTATAACTAACTTTTTTCATTTTTAATTAGAGTCGCTATAACTATCGTCTAAAGAACATGTACAACGAAGAGAAAAAAAGTATGGACCAAAGGTCTTAACTTACATTATTTATAAGTACCTGCGCACAAGAAGAAAAATCGAGGATTTATTTTTTGAGCGCTTCTTTTTACTTTTCTTCATAAGTATTTAGTAATTTGAAGATGTTCACTGTAAATAAAGACATATTCAATACTTTTGAGAACGTAGGAAGATCCAGAAAAAAAATTCATTACGATTCGAGATAGAAAAAAAAAATCGTCCTCGTTTCAAAGGAATATTGCAGTTTTTATGAGAAAAATTCAAAAGGGCAGGGTAAACACCAAGTGATGGAGATTCACGTCTGCTCAGACGCGCAAAGGCTTAGCATAAGCACGCTTTGATTGGTCCATGGAAGGTGATGCAGACCTCAAAGAGCGTCAAATACTGCTTTTGTTGGTATTTTCTTACTTTTCAAAGCCAAAAAGTTTATTAGGTGGTAGAGAGTTTTTGCTCTTTCTTTTACTTCTTTTGAGCTGTAACGTTAAAGTTTTTGACGAAAATACATAATGTTCTGCATCTATCTAGATGAAAGTACATTTTTAAGTTTAAATTTTAGTGGACCTAGTAATAATATGGTCCGAATGGTTTAACGAAGAAGTAAAAAAGATTAATTTTTTCTTATTTCTGTGATACTCTTGACAATTTATCGAACTCATCAAAAAGTAATAATAAAATAAGAATGTTACTTGTATAGAGACCAATTATTACCGACGTACTTAATGGTGATGCATAAAATTAATAGATTACATGTTTTTGTAGGATTATGTTTGACTCAAATTCATTTATGGCACAGCTATGGTATTACAGAAATCTTCGTAGGACTTTCCTTTGATAACTGTTACCCACTATGTCCCCAACATTAAGCTAATCAGATTTATTGAAAACTATGCATGTGCCTTTAATTGGTAGAGCTTACCTATGACCTCCATGTAAGCCATGGCCTTCACGACCTTAAACACAGGACTGTCGGTGTTCACTTCGCACATGTAGTAGCCGGTCGCGTCGATGATCACGCTCTGAAGCTGCAACAACTGGTCGCTTGATTTGTGTGGCTGCAACAGAGAACCAAAGATGGGTGGTTGTTTACTATTGATGGTCGATAATTTGTTTATACAAAATACTCGATTAACTGACTGGCTTATGTTTATCCGCTCCTCTGTAGATAAATTATTGATCAAAAGATAACGAATAGTTGATGTGATAGAAATATTTGTTATTTTAATCGCATAATTGCCAACAGTACATTTCCATAAATTGTATTGGTTTACAAGCACGAGATTATATTAAGTAGAATCGTATGAATACTATAAAACGTGATTATATAATATATTGCTTATTAAATTTCTTAAGTACAATGTATTTGTACTCATTAAAAATGTTTTAGAACAAAACTAAATATTTTAGTATTGCGAATCCTTGGAGCTGACATTTACGTTACTGTATTCTGCTGGCTTGTTAATGTTATTTAACATAATAATTAACTGGCTGCACTGTAAGCATAAAATTAAAAAATACTTAAAAATCTAAATTGATCCATCAACGTTCATTAAATTGGCTTTTATAGGTATGTCTGACCAAGCGTTGATAATACTACTAGTAAACATGAAATCATAGTTTTAGCGAATTTGTAACACTATATTAGTGATACTAGTGAGGCTCTTGGGTAATTTTTATCACGATTCTCGTACGTCTATATCTCTTTGTTCGAATTATAAATTGTTATTAATTTCAATAAACCCTGATTGTTTCTTACTAGAAAAAAATTTTAACTTCATTGAGAGTGAGTCAAGATCAAAGCGAAGAAGGTCTCCCAGATTCGTAAAATTACACATTAAAACAGTTTATCTTTCAGTGATAAACTAGAAATAGGTGGTGAAAAATCACGTGTAAAAGCTGTTATCTTAGTTATAAATCTACATAAAACTTGAACTATTCCTCCCCAATGCACGGCCACTATTTCCCATACATTAACTCATACGCATATGCGTCGCGGTGTCGTGGGAGCTATACTTTCATTTTTTCACCCCAACTATAAATGCGGAGAAGCAGCTGCGAGCCATTACTTAACATTAACATCACGCAATAAACAACAATACGAAGAGTCTAGGCCCGCCCACTTGGTTGACAGACGGAACGTAGCTGGGCTCTATCGTCAATCTTTTAGCTTGCCGAGACTTAATTCTGTGTGCATGCACGTATACGTGTAAAACACATACACACCTCGCATACTTATACGCTATAGGACACAGTTCTACGTACACATCCACGTATCTTCTCTGTATTCCTATACGTAGGTATCCTCACGAGTGCGGCGCCGATGTACGACTTCGTGGGAGGATTCCTTGAAACAGGCCAAGTCGAAACTTGGGTGAATGTTGCATGCCAACGTCTGGGGGGAGTTGGAAGCTGAATTTCCCTGACGTGCATGTATGTGCATTTGCAAATGATAGTACTGTGCTCTCAGGTCTCTGTTGTTGTTGTTTTGCAGGGAATGTGAGAAGGGGAGGAATGCGAAAATAGAGTTTGTGCACAAGTTAGAAGTAATCTTGATTATCTAAGCCTAGACAAGATATTATTGGCTTTATTGCGTCGAAATATCGGTGTCCCATTGATCTGACAATTGTGTTGTTTAATTGCTAGTTTGTTTAATGGCACATACTCGGACTATGAAACGAGAAGATAAGAGAAAAGTATCTAGCGTTTGAATAAAAATTTTTCCGCCCTCGGGTGGTTTTGGGAGGCTGGTACTTCCTCGGGCGAAAAAGCAGTTTTCCGGAACTCGTTCGAAAAGTCTCCTTTACGAACCTCGTTACGTCCCTCGCCTTTGGCTCGGGCCGCAAACCTCTCGGTTCGCAAACAGAGACTTTTCAAACTCGTAGGAAAACTACTATTTATCACTCGTTTATATTCTCCTTCTTTTCTCGTACTCGAGGTATTCGCATGAAAAGTCAAAGAGGGGACGACTGTATTTGAGAGAAACGGCGGTGGCATCGGAAACATCAAACATGTACTACAGACGGTGTGTGGGGACTCTCAGCATATTGGTGTGTTCACAACGCATTAAAGGACGAATATGTTGAGTGCAACTATGCTTCAAGGGAAAAAGAGGATGCAGCGAGAAATATGAAAAATACCAGCATTCGAATGGATGGAGTCGTGATGCTGGTAATCTATATTTTTTGTCGTGAGATTTTCCCCTCTGGATACTTTGCGTGGTTATTCCTCACTTTTTTTTGCTACTCATAAATATGCATTTGCAAAATAGCTCTTTGAATTTTCTCTTTTTTTTTTTCGTAAATGCTGCTGAATTTTATTTACAGGCTCATTTTCACCCGTTTTATAAGTGATATGCTAATACACATGAGATTGGAGATTTGTATACAAAAATTTCTCTTTTCACTAAGTTTTTTTTCTTTCAGTATTTTCGTAAAAGACCTGAGATCTGAAAATAAATTTACCTCTGCGAAATGAAAAAAAATTTCAAAGAACTTTTCAAAAAGGCGCTTGGATTTTAACTGTGCCACATATCACGTACACCAATAGATATAAACTTCCGAAAAATATTTTATGATAAGAATCGTGAACGTTTGTTTCACTGGGCCATAATTAATGTACCTACAATATCTACTACAAACCCGTGATTGCAAAAGTTGTTTTTCATTTTTTCGATGCAAAAGTGTTTACATTAAAAACATTAAAAAAAAAAAAAAAAATTAAAAAAAATTATAGACAAGGTGTTTCCTTATTCCCATCACGCAACTACCCTTTCAGGTCCTGTCTTTCTTACAGTATACTGAGGAGCAGGAGAAAAAAAATTCGTCGTCGTTAATATCGTCGAAAGTAACGACGTTTACGTGCCACGAATCTATGGCTCTAGTGGTGGCTCTATTCCTTTCTCTCTCTCTCTCTTTTCTTTACCGCAACATCTCATTCCTCTCCTAATATCTTTTTCTTCAAAACGTATTGCGTTTGTCTTCAAATTGGTTGCGATATTGTTCCAAAACAAAGCAATTCTCTTTGCCCTTGGAAAATTTTCTTTATATGTACATCAAGTATGGCTTCTTTTGAGACTCATTTCATTCCATACTTTAAAATCAAGTGAAATTTCTTGCAACTCTGATGATACAACTCGTACTTGTACACCATCGTCAAAGAACTATATAAGTAATCGAAGAACTATCCATCAGTTATTAACTCCCTTCCCGTGGGGAAGTCTCATTGTCATTGCCTCGTATGATTTTTGCGTGTCCATACCCTGTTTGTATAAAATACGTGCACTCACAGCACTTCACGTCTCATTACACATATTATCCGTATTTAAGGAGATAATAATTATATAAAGCCATGTCTGCTTCTCTGTGAATAAACCTGAGGGGAAAAAAAGATTCATAGAATGCAGCTTAGAGAAAGCAGCAGTATAGTGGACTGCTCGAAGCTTTTTTGAAATAAATTTTTCACCCAACTAAAATTATGCAAACGAGCTCTATTTTTCTCATCCTGCAAATTTCATTGTCCGAAAGGACATTTATTTCCCGTGCGAATATACCACCCATGCGATCATCCTCTCAAAAATGCAACGACTTCCGCTATTTGAGAAATAGTTTTGGGGGATGGAATAGAGGATAATAGAGCTGCCTCAGCCGGGTTATTATGTTCAGCGCTTTATGACGGTGCAGGTGGGTCCTGTGAGATGCTAATGCTATTTTCACGTGAAGAAGTCCATACAGAGGTGTTTGGTTTTCAAAATAGGCATTGAAAGAGCGGAGCACCACTATGAGATCTGAGCGTTTGTTAAAGCTTGAAAATCCTCTCAATGAATACTTTAATTATTCCTAAATGTGGAGATGATAATTAGTAAAGAAAAAGAGGAGATCAGAGGAGATAAGCTGGTGCCACAGCTGGTCTGACTCGACGCTCCCAAGATCCGATGAAGAAGTATACAAGCTGGCGCTTCTTCTGCTACAGTCCTACTTTGTTAACAAGTTTCTCATCACCTTTACTTTTTCTAAACGAGGACTGGAGCTGAAACCTGCTCAAATAAATTGAAATATTTTGTACAGACTTCTCTATTTTTACTTTTAGTCCGTCACACTCGTGTTTTTGCTCTAATAATATTTTTTCGTAAAATAAAGGAAAAGGTATGCAAGGAAAAAATAACATAAAAAGCTTGTGGACCATCTTTTTTAAAGGGGTTTTTTCTCTAATTTATATTTTTTTTCCTCTAACGACTTACAGTAAATATTTCTATTATATAGTTGTTACTAGTCATAGCCTTAATTTTTAGTTGTTAAGAAGTAAATAAAATATTTATGTGTCTAAAATTGAATATTGTGATCCGAACTGTACAAAAAAGCCTTAGTTATTTCACACGTCTGTTTATTAGTTAAAGTAAAATATGAATTACTGTATATTTTTTTAAAAGAGTTGAATTAGAGAACAATAGATCTTTCATGTACATTGGTTATAGTATAAATTATTTTTGAGTAGAAACTGTTAAGTATGCTAGAAATATTTCTAATTTCTTATACACATTCATATGAATAAGTTCGTACAGATTCAGTATTGAGAGAAAGCTACACATTTTCTTTATTCAGATGAAATGTTTCATGGATCCTAGTCATTTGAATGATAAATTGACAGTTGAAATCACTGGAGAACAACCATATTTTCGAAAAAGCACTGTAAGAAAAATTTTATTTTTGGGGCCTGAAAATTGTTGGGAAATAAAAACTTCTTCGCCCGAGGATAGCAGCTTTGTAAAAGGACTAGTAAAAAAAGTTTTAAAAAATGTCAAGGGGCAGCATTGTAAGATTCCATTGTGGATAGAAAGAGATGAAAAAAAGGCCAGAGAAATAGGTGCGAGCAAGAAAAGTTCCATCCAATTTTTATCGTGGCGAAAACTATTTCTCCTATCTCTCCAACTACCAAGTTTTATCCAGCGTGTTAAACCACTATCCTTACTACTTTTTTCTGCTTTTTTTTAAATCTTTTTTTCTTTTTATCTAAAAAAAAAAAAACGAAAGGAGAAAAAAGGAAGAGGTAGAAAGTAAATCGCACTCCTACTTTCACCGATTCATTGTAAGTTCGTTCATCTTCCATTTCCTGGCTTTTTTTTACAGCCACAAAAACCAATCTCACGAAGATTTCGCTTAAAAGTTGAGGATACGTTTTTAAAGTGCCACATCCTTGAATAATAAAGTTGGCAAAGTACTCTGCTGATATGGTGAGGACGTAAAAGTTATTTGCAGTGATTATCTGTCGTAGGCGAGTAAACTTGTTACTGAACATTGTTGGAGGAATCATACGATAGTCACTTTGAAAGTTAACAACCTGTTTAGAATTTTAGAAAATTCTGACGTTTAAGTTAAAGGTTATATTTTCTATATTTTTTGGAGTTTGTAAAATCGCAAAATATCTCAAAGTATTCAAAAAAATTTCCAACCCTGCGGTAAACTCAGGCCATGCACAGTTTTTCAAGACTAGATGGGATTTCGGCTTCTATTTCTTTTGACACTTTTTATCACAAAAAATTCCATTTCATTGCTTCTTAACAGAAATCCTACCTTTGACTTGGGTGGCGAAACACATATAGTCTGGGACATGTGTTACTCATTAATTTTACTTTTTAATCTACCATTGTAAAGATATTTGAAAAAAATTTTTTTAGATAACATGGTTTGTGCAAGAAGATTATGTGCACAATTTTATTTCCAGCAGTACTAAAATCAACGAATACTAGTTTTTTGACAAGTTGATAACAAACGTAAACCAAAAAAATATCAAAACATGCATTACATTGCAACTCAGGCACGGGAGGATAATGCTGGGAATTTTTAGAGAGATAAAATCGAATGGCGACGATGCTCCCCTGAGGCGCTCATGGCTCTACAGAACAGAAAATCCTCTAAAAGAGCTTTTCCCGTATCGAGAGAATTTCATTGGTCGCAAGGCTATCTATAGCCAATGATCTGTTCAAACAGATGGCATCGACGTACGCAAGTAGTAAAAGCCCGTGTACGGTCAGACAGCTCAAGAGCCGGTAGGAGATACCCGTTGAGCACCTAATACCCACCCTTCCCCTCTTTCTGGCACTGCTAATGCACTTGCTTTGACGATTGCAGATCTCTTAGTACTTACCTAATACCAGCACTACATTTCTGCACAGTTATTTGATTTCAAACTTTTGATTACACGCTCCTGAAGAATCCCGCAAACATGCACAGCATGTACGGACACTTTGCAACTCGTTTGATGACATCCATCCATGTTGATAAAAAAGAATAAAAATTTGTTGCTTACGATATCTCTAGGCCTTTACCAATAAGTATCCCCAAGGCTAACACATTTTATTCGCACCTAGAATAACAGTCGATGACATCTAACTGAACGTCTCAGAATAATTTTCAGGTGTGTGATCTAAAGTACATCCAAAGTAGAGGGCAGGTTTGGAAGAAAAATTACGTCTTGATTCTTGAAGCAGAAAAGGAAGATGATAAAGTACGGGATAAGCTGTAGACATAGTTAGGGGATTACTTGAGCCCGTTAAATGTAAACCTAAGAAAATTTCGGCTTGACACGTCATATACACTTAATATCTGCGCAAGAAACGTACGAGCTTAAAGAGAAAAAAACAAGGAGTTAATTTAAAGGAGAAAAAGAAGTCAAAAAAGGGTCACTTTCAGGGATTTAAGACTATTTTAGATAATGTGTGACGGTTTACTACGTGTGTTTATGATAAAAATATAATGATTTAGCTCAACTTACGTCAATCGTGACGCCATTCACATTGAATACCAGTTTTTCCTGTTGTTTTTTCAAGAATTTGTAGATGTGTACGTTGTCTTTGTACCAGGATACGGAGTAGAGCTTATCAGAGCCCAGTTCGTACCTGAAATTTAAAAATAAATGATAATATAACCAAGAACACATTGTATACTTAAGTTATCATCATGACTTAGTGAGATAAGAAATGTGAATTTGTAAGGTAATTTTTATAGCCGTGTTGCAACATCGAAACATTGATACTGCATGCAGGTAATAAACGTAGTGTCTTCCATTGCGCTTACGGTCCAATTTAAAAAATATCGAAAAAAAATGTGAGCATGAAGATTGCAAGAGTACTAGGTTTATATTCACAGTCCCTTTTTCATTCAGAGCTCGTGTCGTGGCTTTTACTTCCACAAGGAGTACTTCAGAAGTCGATATGATAAAACTACAGCCATTACAATGGCACTGAGAGAAAAGAAGGGCGGGAAAAAGGGCGAGAATCACGAGTAAAAAGTAAAAAAAAATTTTTCAGTAATTTAAGGTCATTTAATTAGCCAATCATGTTACTGATACGCCATCGATAAATGAATCACTCAACGATGACCACGAACGCAACACTTGCTCTATATTATTTAAAGTGAAAAAATGTATTATTATATTGTTTAAAGAAGGTAGAGGGTTGTACATTCTTGCAAAAACTAATTCGTGCCTACAAAGAGAAAAGAGAGGAGCAGAATACTCTTCAACCCCATTTTTGCTCTCGGGAGCACCAAAATTATTCAAGAGGCAAGAGAACTTGAGTCCTGGCTGCAGCACTCGTGGCTAAGGCTCTCGAGCCTACCACCTTCGTCACCACAGAGCCAACAGCCAACGTGGCAGCGCTTACCTCGCTTGCCAGAAGCAACTATAATGCCACCCGTCAGTGTTTCCTATTGATCATTTGAGCTTGTCGATATAGTGACAAAGGTCACATTAGCACAATGCACTCATGTTATGACAATACATTTTTCACTTAGCAGTAGGGATGACTGTATTCAGAGTGCAAAACACGAATTCTGATGCTTATGTGTATCTCTCATGATGAGGGAGACAGGGAGAGAGAGAGAGAGAGAGTGCACGATATTATCATGTAGTGACGCATCCCTAGGGGGTGCATTAAACTAAAAGCTGACAAGGGCAAAGAGATTACTGCAGTCGAGTTTTAGGTTTATGAGACGTCAAGCTTCAAGTGAGCAAGAACGGGGAGTGAGATAGAGTTGGTAGAGAAAAGTGAACGGGGAGTTACCAGCACCTGCCAGCGTCATGGGATTGATTTGCATCTACTGGCTCATTTATTGGAGTCACTTCCTTGGGGGGTTCTTCGAGTGCTCTTATCTCTACAGTCTTTTCCCCTCCTTCTCTGCACTCACTCAATTTTTCTGCAACTACCTGGTTTGGCTGTGATATATGCTTTCTTTTCTTACACTCGGTTCAATGTTAAGTATCTTAACTGATAACATATTATTAAATTATTGACACGGTTTACGTATAAGGAGTATTGAAATAAATTGATTTTGGACGTACATTTTTTAATTAATAAGACACAACAATAGTGAAATAAATCATTTAAAGTGGAACTGTATCAAAATTCTACATTTGTTAGAACTCAAGCCTTTTAAGCTTACTATCAAACATGATAAAAAAAAAGAAACATTCTTTAACAGACCTGTCACTCCGTAATAAGAATAATGTAGTAATAAAGAAAGACAATACTAAGCGTACAGTAAATTGTCAAGCGGTAAAGTTGTACGAAAACTCTAAATTTCCCACCAAAGCAGGGAGGCGAGGGTTGGTTGATTACACTGAAAGTAGATCCTGCGCGCGAGCAATTGATCGGGGCGCTTTGAAAGCCCCTCGCTGACGTTGCAACTTTCGCTCGTCTCTCGCTAGCAAGTGCGTAGTTATCTACGATCTGCGTCGCGCTGCTGTTGCTGTTGTTATAACTGCGTGTACGCAAATAACGGCAGGGAAAAGTTCAAAGGTGGTGCTGTTGTACGTATGTAGTGGTGTTGCGTGCCCCTCGAGGTAAAGTTCAAGTGCCGAGCACCAGCCCTTGAGCTTCGAGTGAAAGGCGTCAAAGGGTCTGGGGAAGAAAATAATGACGTGGAATGGGATATCTTGACTGTGTGATTTTTGGTCCCAAATTTTGTATTTTTATTTAGTCATCGTTAAAAATTATTTGTTTCAATTAAAACTAACGCAAGGAAGGATACTTCATGGTAGTTATCCGTCATGACTAGCCAAAAAGGACCAAGAGAAGGGACTAACTAAAAATTTTTGTAAAACGCAAGATCAGATTGATTTCTTAGTGGAGTTCAATTTAATGTAGTCAAGTCACGTATAGAGAATCTTTAGGAATATTTGAATGCTATTGCCAAGGAGGAGGAGACGTTTCTGAAAGTCAAAATATTGCTGATGACACGACACGTTCACTGTGCGAAGAGATTTTACGCCCAAGAGGTGGGCAGAGTTTAACTTTTTTCCTCCCTTCCTTTACTTTCCTTGCTCTTTTTCTCTATTTTCCTGTTGGTTCTTTTCCTAAAGCTATATATTGTAGTAAAACTACGCTCAAATTCCTCGTGCTCTCAAAAAATTTACAGTTATCATACAGTCTCTCATACAGTGTATACATTCACATACATGATCAGGAAAAACAACTTAAAGATGTAGAAAAACTTGCTTTTGATAGTTAGAACCTGTTGTGAAAATATCTTTTTAATCTTCTTAAAGGCGTGTCCTTTCCTACCATCCAATCGAATTCAGCGAGTGCACGTATCCATAGGACGAAGCGGATCAACGAAGCACAAACACCAGGAAATTCAGGTAATCAGTGATGTGGCTCTTCTAACTAAGGCTATACCGTAACTGTACATGTTGAGATCGCTTGTATTGTGTCTCTGCATCCGTCGAGGATCGTACTTTCAGACAAGAGAACGGGAAGTGGGCACTTGGCTGTATTGCGTAAGCTCTTCGAGTTGATGCGGGTCGGGGATTTTGCGAAACAAGCTTTATCAAAAGACTCGTAAGTCGCGTATTTTGGAGGCTTACTAGTATTTGCAGTGGATTTAGTATAAATTTTACTAATCTATTTTGAGAAAATTTTGTTGAAAAGTTGAATTATTTCCATTGATTGGAGACTCCCTGTCAAGAACCTATACTGCACTTTCTCCCTTTTTTATCAACGACTCACCCAACTATTTTTTCTTCTCCCAGATTTTTAATGACTTTCTTTTTCCTTTGACTATTTTCTCAACTTTTCTGTTACACCTTTATATATATGTATATATGTTCTTTTCTTTCCTACTTCTCTGCTTTTTTTATTGTAAACTCGTACTCATAGAATCCACGATACGATCCAAAGCTCGATGGAGGTAAGGGGCGATTATGTTTACAACGTACGGCGAAGATTTTGTGAAGATAAAAAAAGGCGACAGTAAAAAGAAAGAGATTTCAGTCAAGTCGTAAGCTGCTTGAATTCATGCCCCTGTGGTTTTCTTCGAAAATTTAGCTGAGTCGCATACCAGTCAGAAGTCCCGTGGGGGTAGGTATCTTGGAAAAATATTGTGTACGTCGATCCATGTACGGTAAAGTGCTTGTGATAGAATCATTAATTGGTTCAAAGACCCATAGTTTTCGTAGATACAGCGAGCAATTGTTATTTAAATTTTTACGTATAATTGTACTCCTTGATGGAGGAAATAAAATTTTTCGTCTACCAAGGCTGAGGAAAAACTATGACATCCTGAATTTCCTGCGAAATCCTATTCAAAAGAGAAAAATTTTGTTTTTTAAAAGTTAATTTAAACAAGTGTTCCAGTTTCACACTAGACTCGGTCACTTCAGCCGCAGTGATAGCCAGGTCATCGTTTGAGCGTCACACATTAACGCAGCAACCCTCGGGATTACCCCTCTGCTTGAATGAAGAAAACTTTGGAAACAGCAAGAAAAAAAAAGGAACATTACAACTCAGCAAAGCTCGGCTGCATTATCTTTAATTAACGAGCTGATTACGATAAAAAAAGAAAAATAGGAGGGAGCTGTAGGTGTAAGAAAAATTAATTGAAACACATTTCCACATTGGAAGGGAGTTGCGGATTTCACGCTCTTAATGGCACTATTATCGGATAAATTACTTGAAGAGAAAAGGATTCTAAAAAATTCTCCATTTATAGATCGTTGATGAGGAGTTCTGCTGATTTAATTACAAATTTCATGTCTTTCTCTTTTTCTGTACTATAAATAAGTTACTTACTTTTATTTAAAATGTCTTGTGTCCTGTTTAAATCATAAAAATATTTATTCTCAGAATAATATTGTACTTCCTATCACCTCTATCGATTTTTATATTTTTAAGAGCTTAAACAGCTCTCCCAATTAATAGAATTAGCTTCGATCATTTCTTATAATGCCTTTAAGTCAATTTTATATACAATAATCATTTTATGAGTTCATTAAAAATCAATTGATAAGCACGGATTGGAAGAGATAATGATTTATTATAAAGGACAATTGAATATTATTATAGACCAAAATGAATAACAAGTGCCAAGTGCGATTATTCCCGATTTTTGTTGCTTAATTCAGTCATAATAAAAGAAAAAATACATTCCATTTTATAGGTACAAAAATATAAAAAAGTTAACACTATTTTTGAATGACATACATATTCCAGCCTCATTTTAAAAAAGTCATTCGTGAATGGCATAATACATCCTTTTCATGTTGTATATGTATGCATGCATTTTGACACAAGTGCCAAAGAGTTGAGGTGGGCAAGTGCCCTCTCACCTGCACTCCAGTCTGGCAGACTCGCCTTTCTTGAGGTACGGTGGAACCTTTACTTCGACCCTCAACGCCTCCACTGCTGCAACACACAAGAAAGAAAAACATGAGAAAGGCATTTGACAAAAAATAGGAGGGCACAAACACATACCTTCACACACATACCCACATTTTCAATGTGCTTTTTTCTTTTGGTTGGAGTCTTATTACTTATGGGACCTATTTTTATTTTAAAAGAGAACCCGTCGATCTGATCTAGATCCTGCCAAATATTTTTTGACGTGTCTATTTCTCCCTTTTATTTGTCGCACATTTTTTGATAATTTTTTGTATTGACACAATTACTGGTTGCTTGAATTTTTTGAAAAACTTTTTGCCCAACCACGGGTGGCAGACACTATAATGACATACACGTTTATGTGTTATTGTTGATGATATTTCACTCTTTTTATACTAACTAATATCATAATAACTGAAAAATGCTAATTACGTAACTATCGAAAAACTATTTCACAAATTAACAATTAGTATTTACATTGTTCAATCGAAAATTATTACTTTATGATCTTCATAAAAAATCATCAAAGTAATAGAACTTAGTCCTTAAAAATTGAATTATTTTTTTTCTTGATACTATATTAGCAAAGATTTCATAAGATAGTAGTGGCGTACTTTATAACGAAAACAACATTGTTGTACTGGCTCAACTTTTCTAAAACATGGTCTCATTCTACCAGACATTACAAAGAGTATCATCAAAAAGGGCCCATCCAGTACTGTTGATTGACGTTTCGCAAATTAACCATTACCTGTGACTACCCCTTCCCTCCACTTCTTCATCCTCGTTTTGTTTCGAGCTCGAGCGCCTCGAGAACTTCCCACGGCTAAAGCTCTTTGTTAGCTGGTCCCGCCCGTCTGAGATAGAATTCCTCGTCCCACAACGATATTCTTCAAACTCGGCGTGCTCGACCAACTTGGAGAGGTCGAAAAATCCTTTATCTTCCCAAAACTAGTCCTGGAACCGATGGGCAGGCGTGCGTAACTAAATCAGCCGAACACGAAAGTTTTAGGAGAAGAAGACGGTGGTGGAAGACGAAGCCAGTGCTGCTGTTCCCAAGTTTTAAGGTTTTCAAGCACTGCTAGACGAAACTACCCGCGTGACTGGACGATTAATTGAGCGGCACAATCAGGTTTCCAGCTGCTACGGCTTCTTTTTTCTCTCTGTCCCCATCTTCTCTGAATGTGGTCTTCCACTCTCTCCAACTACGTGCCTCCAACCTGCTCTTTTTTATTTTTCCTCCAACTAAACATTAAGTGCATCTGCTCAAAAAGGGATTATCGGGTAGAAAAAAGTACATACCATTCATATCCGCGATTCGGTCTAAATAAGCTAGCTGTTGATTTTCTATACTAAAAATTAAAGTTTACTCTGTACACAATATACGTAAAATATCTTATTCTGATACCACTGCACGTGAAGTATAGTATTTTACGCACTACTGAGTTAACTAACCAATCAGCATTTGAGTATTAGCATACTTGTTTAAGTACTGTAACACTGCTTCTTGACCTGAAATAAAATGAGGCGCCGACGCAGCATTAGCAAATTTCGATCGCGTCCGTCACCGTTGTCCCTCTCACTTCTTGGGTTTCTGCTCCTGAAAAAGGGGGATGGGCGCGGGAGTTATCCCGTTCTACGGGGAGAACTAATTTACATACAACAAATCAATACCTTTGACTATTTCTTTATTTAACACACCTAACACTAATACACAGTATCTCTGGTGCTCGACGTGGGGCATGGGATGCCATTTTGTCACACTGCCTTTGTACCTGGAAATAAACAAAAGGGGGGGGGGGGTACGCAGGAAGTGGATTGCCTCGTCTCGTACGTCCTCCGGGTCCCTCGTCCTCTTGGATTCTGCTCCTGAAACGGGGAGTTTGTACGGGATTTCTCCTCTCGTTCTACCGAGAGGAAATAACTTTGGGAATGCTACCGTGTCAAATAAGGAAATTGTTTATTGCACTCTCCACACGGCTCTACACAACTCCTCGACGGCGCTACAGCGGTTCCACCTCACCGCGCGAATCGCGAGCGCACGTTCGGGGTCCTGTCTTTAGAAATTGAGACCAGGAGGGGCCGCTGCCCTAACGCTCCCAGCCACGTCACGCACACATACACACGCGCGCCCTCACACGTAACCTCTCGTCCCTGTCCACTACACACCTGCTCTCTGTTATCGCGCCCTTCTCTTCTCGTCCCTTGGTAACCTTTCTCACCCTGTCTCTCTCTCTCTCTCTCTCTCACACTATCACTGTCCCTCGTTCACCTGCTCCCTATCCCTCTCAGTCCCTAGTCCCGGTCCTCTCTCTTTCTCTCTCTCTCTCGTCCTTTCTACACACCTAGAGCGAAAAACGCGCGAACACCCCCAAGATTCGGCACTCCCGAGCATGCATCCACGACTTCCCGCAACCTGGCTCTCTCTCTCTCTTTCTCAGTCCTCTGTATACTCCGGGACTTAGTCCCGGAGGCCTACCGGCGCTCACGAGCCCTAGGACGACGCACAAAAAAAACGGCGGGAAACACGCTACCTTTCGGCTCTCTGGCTCGCGGCAAGGGCGTATGGCGTCCGGCTGGGCCTCGGGCTGCTGGTGAGTCTGTGAAGCTGACGGCGGCGGTCCTACTCTCTCTCTCTCTCGTCCTGTAGCTGCTCTGCTTCTCGTCCCGCTCGCCTACTCTCTCTCTCTCGTCCTGCAGTCGCTCCGTTGCTCGGCCTGGGTCTTCTCCTCGCGGTGATGATCTCCGACGACGGGGACACAGCAGCTTTCTCTCCTCTCTCGCTATCTCTTGATCTGACAATAACTTTCTCTCGCACTTTCTCTCTCTCTTTCTCGCTCACAATCTCCGGCTAATCCGCGTGCGAAGGCTCTCGACTCGAGACTGACTCTACGTCCCATCGCAACTACTGTGCGTACCTCTCGACTTTTTTTTTTCTTTCTTTCTCTCTCTCATACCCGAGGGCCGCCGCCGCGACCCGAACAGTGGTGCGCGCGCTCACGCGTATTTTTCTCGCCGCTGCTGCGGCTGTGTCCCGTCGTCGCATCGTCCTCTTCTCCTTCTTTTCCGGGAGCCAAAACAAAAGAAGAATTCCGGGAAGGTAAGCCTTTGCCGGTGACGTCATACGCGTTGCGTCAGCGAGAGCGACATGAGCCGGGAGGCTCAATTTGCCTCGTTACAGTACACACCCTGAAATCTAAAATATTTGCATACCGAGAATAAAAATAGTACACTTATCTAACAATTCTTTTTCATACGGTGGAATGATACAAATACTCGCCATTTGCTTAAATGGCAGAGGCTCATTCAGCGAATGCTAGTTTTCTTTGTTTTTCCCTTTAATTTTGGATTTATTTTAAACGATTCACGTCCTGTGTGTCAAACAATAAAGTATACAATTCTACGCTACCAAAAAAAAAAAAAGAAAAAAAAACGAGCGGAAGGTTTGCGCTGTGATTCATGTAAATGTTATCAATGTAATATATATCCGTCCACTGGGACGTAAGTACAAGCGAGGAAGGCAACTATCGCGTTACAACCGAGTATATCAAGCATACCCCGCAGGAGAATGAATAGTCTGAAATTGAATTAAAAAGCAAAACTTTTTAGCTCAGCCCGTGTACCGCCTCGAAAGCCGCCGTTTGCGCGTAAATAAGCAAAAGTTCTCCAGTGAATTCATTCATTCTGCTCTGATATGCCCTCCAGTGATCAAAAACCCCCCTCCCACCGCATCACCTTTGTATCTCTTTATTTAGCGTGTGTATACATATACGTATTAACGTGGAGGTAGTGAAATTGTATTCCAAAGCGCTGCGTAAATATTCTCAAAGCAGCCGCATTTACTTTTGTTCAGGGATTCCTCTCGTATTGTACTTGCAAATTGCCACCGTATATTTAGCTTCGTAGTAGCATCAAAGTACACTTGATGAAGTTCGGAGCGTTTTAAGGGGGGCAAACTTTGCGGTCTACCAGTACCACTAAATACTATGCATTTATCTGATTTACACTTACTCACACAAAGTACAAACACATCTAGGCGGACACATTATTTTGTGTGTATACCATCACTTGGCCATGCTGGGTAAAATATATTGTAAATTTATTCGCGACGCGGTGAAACCACTACCTTCTTCTTTCAACGCTACGTTACATATATTTGCTCTGACAGTAGTATTAAAGTTTCCTAGTAGTTCGCGAAAGCTTTTTTTTTTTGCCTTTTTTCCTCTAAAGCATTGATACAAGATACTTTTTTTACGTTGAAACCGGATTTTATTTTTTTCATTCAACTTCTGCAAGTCAAGGTGGACCAAAGAAATTGTGCTCGATCCTTTAGCTTTTAGCTGAAAATTCTTTGCCGCTAAGGCAGAATTAAAAATAACGGGAACGAGAGAGAGAAAGTGAGAGAATGCTAATCTCATCGTCATACCCTGCACGCGAGCCAAACAACTCGAAACTCAGAACCAACAATACTATCCACCACCTCCAATAAAGTGTGCCTATTTACCTTTCCCCTCCACCACATTCTCTTACAGAGCTTACTTCGCAACTCGGGTAATTGAATTGTTCGGGGCGAAGTTGCGTCCGATTATTCGCACAAGACAACCCTTCCCCCTACTCGATAAAGAGTGCAAAGAGAACTTGGATGAGAGTACAAGCATCGATTTGGACTTTTTTCACCCACCAGCCGTTTCTATTTTTTTTTTCTTTTTATTTTCCTCATTCCGATTCCAGACGCATCGTGCTCTAGTGGGCAAACATGAATTGTCCGACGGAGTAAAGTGTAGTTTTAATAGATATACGTGCGGTGTACCCAGTCGAGTCACGCAATATAAGCCCCCTTGGAACATACGTATATCAAAGGAAGGGATAAAAAATCGTGTCAGAGGAAGTCTGCGCGAATTTGGAATAGTTAATGTACCCAGATTGCGTTTTACGATTCCAAGGCCTGGTAGTGCGGGCGCACGCTTTAACATTAGGGCTGAAGGTACGGTGGAACCGTATTAGCGATAGCGTACAGAAATTTA